CCCTGTGGGGAGGGAGAGAAGGGGGATCTGGGAACTCTGAGCTTTTCACTCAGTTTTTCTGTAAATCTAAAACTGCTTTAAAAAAAGTCGTTAATCTAAACAAAACACAAACCAACCAACCCAAAGCCCCGAATCTCAGTCAGTAACCACCCATTGTCGTGTCCTCAGTCTCCCTAGCAACGCGGTGAGTGTGAATGTGGTGGTCACTCTGACAGGCTGGGGTGGGTCTGTGGCTTCTGTTAAAGGAACAGCATGGCCTGGGGCAGGTGAGCACCTGTATGAGGCAGAAGCTAGACAGCGATGATTGCTATTCTAGTCCGAGGTAGGAAGAGGGCCCGTCCAGCTTTTCTGCTGTGGGGAGGGAGACTGTGGAGGAGGACGGGGTTGAGGGAAAGGTTAACTAGCTGCCTCAGGCTTCACGGCTGGTGAGTGGCGGAGCTCGAACTTGAACCCGAGTGCCACTGCGCGTCTGAAGCTGCAGGTGCTGAGTAAGACCGTACCCAAGGTGGGCAATTGTCAACAGAAGGCCATGCTCCTGCAGAGCATCAGTGGCCTCCCACATCCGGTCTTACTGCTCGTCTCAGCCTTCCGCAGCGCACCCTTGCTCCCTGGGACGTCCCTGCCTGGCCAAGGGGCTCCAGACCTTTCCTCGTCTGACTGGGAGCACGAAGGAAGTTGGTGGTCATCATCCCAGCTTACGGGTGGGGAAGCGGCACTCACCCAAGGGATTTTATTTGCTGAACAGATACGTTCACCATAGCTGCTGACTTCCATCCGCGGTATGAAGCAAGGAAGACACGTGCTGGGTGGATGGATGAATGGCAGTCCTACCTCTGCTCAGGAGGCCGGAGGGCAGCCAGCCTCAGAGTGCCTGCTAAGCCCAGCTCCGTGACAGGCACGTTGCCCGCATGACCTCACTCATCTCATGGAGCCTCTTGGGCAGGCGTTTCACACCACTCAGGCTCCGAGTGCGGAGGTGATGGGCCCAGGCCACGTTCGGCAGTCGGCGGAGTCAGAGTTTCGGCAATCAGACCTCTTGATTCCAAAAGGCATGCTGTGTCCTCCCTGCCTCTGCGCCAAGTGCATAAACACACAGATGTGAAAACCACAAGTGGTGTTAGCTCACGGAGGACGGAGCTTCGAAGGGCAAGGGCTGTCCTTTGGAGAGCCGAGGAGGCACGGTGTGCCTGCTGCCCCCGGTGGCGATGAGCCACAGCCGGCGATCCTTCTCGTCTTCCCCAACCCCTTCTAGTTCA